AATGATTGGTTGTTTGATTGACTGCTGATTGATGAAATGATTGGTTGATTGTTTGAATGACTGCTGATTGATGAAATGATTGGTTGATTGTTTGATTGACTGCTGATTGATGAAATGATTGGTTGATTGTTTGAATGACTGCTGATTGATGGAATGATTGGTTGATTGTTTGAATGACTGCTGATTGATGAAATGATTGGTTGATTGTTTGAATGACTGCTGATTGATGAAATGATTGGTTGATTGTTTGAATGACTGCTGATTGATGAAATGATTGGTTGATTGTTTTAATGACTGCTGATTGATGAAATGATTGGTTGGTTGTTTGAATGACTGCTGATTGATGAAATGATTGGTTGATTGTTTGAATGACTGCTGATTGATGAAATGATTGGTTGATTGTTTGAATGACTACTGATTGATGAAATGATTGGTTGATTGTTTGAATGACTGCTGATTGATGAAATGATTGGTTGATTGTTTGAATGACTGCTGATTGATGAAATGATTGGTTGATTGTTTGAATGACTACTGATTGATGAAATGATTGGTTGATTGTTTGAATGACTGCTGATTGATGAAATGATTGGTTGATTGTTTGAATGACTGCTGATTGATGAAATGATTGGTTGATTCATTAAGTGGTTGACTGATTAAACAAATACTTGCCTTTTTTATTGAATTATAAGTTGACTGAAAGATTTATTGAATAAACAACTGCTTAATTCACTTAATGATTGGTGGATTTAATAATTGGTTGATTGCATGATTGTTGATTGATTTAATGACTGATTGATTGGTTACCTGATTGATTGAATGAATTCTTAGTTGGTTTAACTATTGTTTAACTAAATGTTTCTGTATGCTTCAGGATTTTATGATGTGAATCCTGATAATCAAATACTGAAGGCAAAAAGTTTTGTAAAATGCTGTTCATTGCTGCATTGTTTAAATTCACCACAGAAAAATTTTCTTAACTTTCTCACTGTTAGTTTGTTGCTTGTAATAGTTCACCCTGCTTTCAACTGTTATCAGTTAGTACTTATAATGGAGGCTGCATGGTCACGAGGCATGGCGTCCACCTCAAATGCTGGAGTCCCGGGTTCAAGCTCTGGTGAAGCCTTGGATTTTTTCAGGTCGATTTTCATAATTTTCCATGGTCTCTGGGTAGTGAGAATGGACTTTAAAAAATCCCTCGGCAGTTGGAAATGAAAAGAGCAGCCTAACGATGCTGCCTGGGCAAAATTTGGAGATAAAAATCTATCCTAAAGTATTTCAGGATCCTTACCGGTGCTGCAGAACCCGTGCACTGCGCTGAGATTCTTCAAACTCAGTCTAGAGTTAAAAGTAGAGCGGAGCACTTATGGGTTGCTACCAGTGTGCCATGATGTTAATCCGCTGTTCAAACTTCAAACTTATAATATAAACTAAAATCATCATTTGAATTTGTATGTAGGTGTTCTAAGCCATGATCACTGGCATCATGAGAGCTAATAGACTGAAATGGTTAAGGAATACTGAGAAAATGTTAGATAAAAGAGAGGTAAAACCTGTATACACAAGGTAGTTGAATAGTTGTAGGCTACAAGGTAAACTAAGAAGAGAATTGAGAGATAATATCCAGACAGACCTACAAACACTTAGTGTCACTAACTGGAAAGAGAAAGTCAACCAGAGAGATGAATGGAGGTGGGTGATATCTGCAGCTATAAACATCAAGGGCTTGGAATGCTGAAGCAGAAGTAGAAGAAGCTGAAAAAGAAGAAGAAGAAGAAGAAGAAGAAGAAGAAGAAGAAGAAGAAGAAGAAGAAGAAGAAGAAGAAGAAGAAGAAGAAGAAGAAGAAGAAGAAGAAGAAGAAGAAGAAGAAGAAAAAGAAGAAAAAGAAGAAGAAAAAGAAGAAAGAAGAAGAATTAAAAAAAGAAGAAGAAAAAGAAGAAGAAGAAGAATGTAAACTAAAATTAGAATGAATGAAAATTCTTGTATGATTAACTATTGCTGGAATAACTGATAACTGTTTCAGAAATGGTGGATACCTAACTTCACCCCTGATGAGGAAACTGTGTGGCCAGATAGCTTCCCAAACATTCCTGTCTCACAGTAATAGACTTTACATGAGGTTCACAACAGATTCTTCAAGCACAGGCAGGGGTTTCCGGCTAGAGTACACCACTGGCACATCAGGTTAGCTGCACATGCCATGAGATCACATCTTCTTCTGCTGAAGTTTTTATCTTTCCTCATTCAACTTTTGAAAGGAGTGTCACACCCATAGATCTGCAACATGTGTCATCATCGTCATCATCATTAATGATCAAGTCCTTTACAGAGCATCGGCTCTGTGGCTAAGTAGATATGAATGCTTTGTAATTCTGGTATGCCGGGTTCGATCCCAGCTGTGGGCCATGCGCCTTGCGTTGGTTTCGACAGTGGTATTAAGAAAGCCAACTGTCCAGAAAGTAATGGCAAACTACTGGACGTAAATTTGCCTAGAAAAACCACACAACAGCCAGGGGCTGTTGGGGTTGGTTCTGCAACATCCTGTAAAGGATATGCAACTAACCTAACCTTTAAAGATGATCAATCTTGTTTGGCACACCTAAAGGTCTCTATTTCTCTAGCCAATTCTCCAACCCTATGTGCTTTCATAGCCAATACATTTTCAGTGTCTTCTGTCAGCCTTCATAAAGGTTTGTTTTTCTTCTCCTGTTCTTTACACTGTACCCTCCATCAACATTCTCTCCAGCCACCTTGACCTTTAATGTGGCCAAGACATGGCCTAAATAGCCACACTTTTGGCACAAAATGCTATTTATGAGCCAGTTCTGCTCAATGCTGACATCATGTAATATGTCTGTGTTTAACTTCTTCTTTGTTCGTTGTATTCTTAGATTTTGTTCTTCAATCAAAAGAGTCTATGAAACATGTATAACATATTTTAATGAATGAGACTGTCTTTCTAATGACATGTGGTAATCATAATCTGATCTGAGAAATTAAACATTCAAGATTTTTTTTTGGTACCAGTGAGAAGGTAATTTTAAAATGTATTGGCAACAAGAAAATGTTAAGGGAAAAGAAAAGTTAATGAAATAAATACCTGGAGAGGTTGGCCATATTATATATCTGAGACAGTGCATCTTCTGATTATACAAGGTTCCATGTTTCCATTCATAGAAAAAATATAATTGTTTTGAAAACCTTTTAATGCATGTAGGTAGGTAGGTAGTTGCACCCCACCAGGACATTACACAAGCGATAAACACCCTGTGACACAAAGTGCCATCATGTGGATGAGGATCACCCATAGAGAGGTTCCAGAAACCCCATTCAGCGGTTAGGCCATATCTATGGCTAGGCAATATTTATGGCCGGGCTCAAAAGAGGCTCCTCCTGAATGGCTGAGGCAGAAAATATAATCCAGCAAGTATGTGCCCTAGACGAGATCAGTCAATGGATGGATACACCAGTAGATATGCATAGCTTGTCTAAGGTTGTCATAACACTGGTGAGGTACTGCAGGAATCCGATACCTGCCACCGTAGACGCTGAGATTAGAGCTCTGATTGATCAGCACTCACTCCCAAAATACGTTGTCATTTACACAGATGGGTCAGTGAAGCGCAGGTAAAGATCAGCATTGGCATGCACAGCACAAAGGATGGGAAAAACAATAAAAGAGGATAGCGGCACTTACCAGAGGACTACGTCAAGCATGACCATAGAGATAGCTGCTGCTACCAGAGCACTCACGTGGAAGCAGAACAAGCAGCCACACATGCAGTAATTGTTTCAGACTGCATGAAATTGCTTCGGAAGCTCACTACAAGTAGTCTCTGCTCCGAATGGTTAAAAAGCATTTAGAAGTCACAGTTAGCCTCCATAATCTGGATCTACACACCTGGGCACGCAGGAGTAAATGGTAATGAAAGAGCTGACCAGCTAGCAAGTAATGCACCAATGCAAATGGAAAAAGCATGGACAGAGCTGATATCATCAACGTCGTACGGATTAGGTGGGGAGATAATAGTGAATCTCTGAGGCTAACACGACTTTATTACCGAGAAGTTTAGCTTGGTGAAGCACGACTGTCTTAGAGGTAAAGACAGGAGATACTATAACCAGCTCTACATGGGAACAATAAGTAGAGGTACCTTGAAGTGACTGCTGCATCAGAGGGACTGAGCACACATGGGGATGCCCAATGTGCAAAGACGTCGATTGTGAAAACATATAATAAAATATGGCCCGGCTATATTCATGGCCCCCGGCAAAAGCCAGGGTGGGGCTTCTGTCCTGAAAAACACATATAAGCACAGCTGGGGTTACGCTTGTAATGGCATCGGTGATATGTTTATTCTGAATGGGAACTTAGGGACACCTTGTAAGTTCTTACACATTGAGAAAAATTTTTAAAAACTTACCTCAGCTCCCAAGTAAACCTAGTCTAAATATTTTACTGGAAAAGGTCCTGGGAAGTAAAATCAGCTGGCATGTTCTTGGACCATTTCTGCATTGAGTGCAGATTGGTTTATACAAAATGGGGCAGGTACCATGTGCCCATGGCATAAAAATGGGCCCAAATGGCGAATCTCTGACTCTAACACGACTTCCTGACTGAGAAGTTTAGCTTGGTGAGCACACTTGGGGATGCCCAATGTCCAAAGACGTTGATTGTGAAAACATAACATAACATAATAAGCAATACAGACAGGATTTTTGTTATTTAAAACTGCTGCGTGCAAGAGACTTGGGTTCAACTCCCCAGTAAGGTGATGGAGATTTTATGTCAGGGGTGAAATTTGAACATCCTAACCTGTATAGTCTGTGGCAACAGCACTAGCCATGCAGCCTTAAATCCTCAGGCTTATGACCCCCTGTCTACATCACCCCAAAAAAAAGTGATACAGACAGACAGTAGTGACAGTTAGCAGATACAATTTTCAAAAAATGCAAAAAACCCTTAATGACACATACATTGAAATTTTTCTAAATCTGGCAGGTTGTGGTGGTGATCTCACAGAACCTACAGGAGGTATCGTGTCACCAAACTACCCGCAGCCTTACTCCCACAATGCACAGTGTTTCTGGTCAATCACTGTGTCGCAGGGGAGTGCAATCACACTGTTCTTTGTAGATTTTGACATAGAAGACTCTACCGGATGCCTGTACGACTATCTGGAAGTAAGATCTTGTTGACTTAGATTGGTTAGTTTGTTGGATCCTGGCCACTTGCTTGCTTGGACTGTTAGTTGGCTTGATGACTAGCTTGCTGCTTGCTTGGATAGATTGTTGGTTGCCTGGATGGTTGGTTAGACGGTCTGCTTACTGCTTGCTTGGCTAGATTGTTGGTTGCCTGGATGGTTGGTTAGATGGTGTACTTACTGCTTGCTTGGCTAGATTGTTGGTTGCCTGGATGGTTGGTTAGATGGTGTACTTACTGCTTGCTTGGCTAGATTGTTGGTTGCCTGGATGGTTGGTTAGATGGTGTACTTACTGCTTGCTTGGCTAGATTACCTGGATGATTAGCTTGATGATTGGCTTGCTGCTTGCTTGGCTAGATTGTTGGTTGCCTGGATGGTTCGTTAGATGGTGTGCTTGCTGCTTGCTTGGCTAGATTGTTGGTTGCCTGGATGGTTCGTTAGATGGTGTGCTTACTGCTTGCTTGGCTAGATTACCTGGATGATTAGCGTGATGATTGGCTTGCTGCTTGCTTGGATGGATTATCTGGATGATTAGCTTGTTGATTGGCTTGCTGCTTGCTTGGCTAGATTGTTGGTTGCCTGGATGGTTCGTTAGATGGTGTGCTTACTGCTTGCTTGGATGGATTGCTGTTTGTTTGGATGGTTGGTCAAATGTTAGACTTGATGCTTGGTTGGTTGCCTGGATCATTGCTTGGTTTGTTGTTTCCTCAGTGTTTGATTGGAATGTTAATTGATTACTGATTTAGAGATTGGCACCATGGGCACACTGGGCATATCCTTAGATGCTCCATCTCCTACAGTGAATGTTCTGAGGTGTAGATTCTAACTGTTCCTGTAGCACACTGATTCTACACAATTGTTCTCTTGCTCTTATACATCCTTCCTTGCTGGATCCACTCCTAATTCCACAGATGGTCAGTTGTTTCAGCGTTTGATTTGTTGGTTGCTTGGTTGGTTGTTTGGTCAGAAGGTTGGTTGGCTGCTTATTTGGTTTGTTGTCTTGGTGCTTGGTTGGATGGTTGTCCAGCTGCTTGTTTGGATGGTTGCCTTGGTGCTTAGTTAGATGGTTGCCCTGGCTATTTGACTGAATAGCTGGAAAGCTGCTAACTGAATGATGCCCTAACATATCTGTTTATACAGTTGAACAAAGTTTATGGGACATGTTTTTGTTGGATTTACATCATGGGATAGCCACAGACATGGAAGGATGGGGGGATTTGTTAAAACATCAAAGTACAAGTGACCTAGGATATGTTTGTTTGTGAGTGAGTCTGTGTACATATAGATGTAAACAGCTTGCATGTATGTGTCATACTTTCAAGTCGACATAAATTTCAAATATTTATGCAACTGAGGTCTTACATTGACGGTCACTTTTCCAGGTACGTGAGGGAGGTCCATTAGGAAGACTAATTGGCAAATTATGTGGCAGTATCATCCCAGATCCGCTCACCACTGAATCAAACCGGTTGTGGCTAACCTACAGGAGTGATCCTTACTTAGCTGGTAGAGGATTTAGAATCCAGTATCATGCCAGTAAGTTTGATCTTTCTCCTTTGCTTCTTCTTTCATTTGTTTCCCACTCCAGTTTTTTCTTTTACAGTGCATTTTTTCTCTTCAAAGTATCTTCCTTTGAGATTGATTAGAAGATATACTATTTTTTTATGCTCATATATATTTTAATGTTAGGTTTACAGTAAAATAGTATATCTTATTGTTATGATTGTAATAAAGTCTTATATTTTGTTGTTATGTTTGTGGCAAAATGTTATAGGACCATATTATTACTGCATTAAAATGTTATCTTCTCCTTTTAGCATGCACCGGCTGTCAATTCTAAAGAAAAGTTTTGGTTGTTTGTCCTCTTGTGGACTTTAGTCTCTTTCCAGAACTTGAGTTTCATCTTAACATTCATTTTACAGATTCGACATCCTGTTAGTTCCTTGCCTCTCAGGCAGATGCACTATGATTTAAAGGAAACAATCCTAATGAGTCGATGTTTTTGATTTGCTCTTTAAAGAGGTAGTGCTTCTAGTTCCTTTTCCCTGGGGCCCCAGAACCCAGCCGAGAAAGAAAGTGCTATATTAACATATTATCTGTGCCGTAAAATATTATATGACCATGTTATTACTTCAGTAAAATGTTACATTACAACGTTGTCTTTAGAGTAAAATTTTACATTACCACATTGTCTTTAGAGTAAAATGTAACATTACCACATTGTCTTTAGAGTAAAATGTAACATTACCACATTGTCTTTAGAGTAAAATCTTACTTTACCACAGTGTCTTTAGAGTAAAATGTTACATTACCACATTGTCTTTAGAGTAAAATGTTACATTACCACTTTATATATTTGCAGTCTGCAACAGACGTCTGAGAGGCAACAGAGGGGTCATAGAGAGCCCGAACTTCCCTAACCCTTACTCTCATCGCACAAACTGTACCTGGATCATCGAAGTTCCCATCGGGAATGCAATCAATATCTCATTTGCTGCCTTTAGGCTTGAGAGCCATGCAAACTGTCAGTTTGATCATTTGCAGGTTAGTTCATTGTCATTTTGAAAACTGTTGTGTCTTCCTGTAAGTAATTGCAGACACTATGACAGCTTATGTCTAAATCATGACAGAAAGGGTTTTATTTACTCCTCAAAAAGTGCATAACATGCAGTCATTAGGTAAACTGTATTCATCAATCATTACAAAAACTGTTGTGCATATAAATCAAAAGAAATATGTAAAATTTACTTATAAATCATTACAGATAACTTACTACTTGATCATTACAGAGAACATACTACTCAGGCATTACAGATAACTTACTACTTGGTCATTACAGATAACTTACTACTTGATCATTACAGATAACTTACTACTTGATCATTACAGATAACTCACTACTTGGTCATTACAGATAACTTACTACTTGATCATTACAGAAAACTTACTACTCAGGCATTACAGATAACTTACTACTTGGTCATTACAGATAACTTACTACTTGATCATTACAGATAACTTACTACTTGATCATTACAAATAACTTACTACTTAATCATTACAGATAACTTACTACTTGATCATTACAGAGATCATACTACTCAGGCTTTACAGATAACTTACTACTTGATCATTACAGAGAACATACTACTCAGGCATTGCAGATAACTTACTACTTGGTCATTACAGATAACTTACTACTTGATCCTACAGATAACTTACTACTTGATCATTACAGATAACTTACTACTTGATCATTACAGATAACTTACTACTTGATCATTACAGAGAACATACTACTCAGGCATTACAGATAACTTACTACTTGATCATTACAGAGAACATACTACTCAGGCATTACAGATAACTTACTACTTGGTCATTATAGATAACTTACTACTTGGTCATTAGAGATAACTTACTACTCAGGCATTACAGATAACTTACAACTTAGGCATTACAGATAACTTACTACTCAGGCATTACAGATTACTTACTACTTGGTCATTAAAGATGACTTACTACTTGATCATTACAGATAACTTACTACTCAAGCATTATAGATGACTTACTACTTGGTCATTACAGATAACTTACTACTCAGGCATTACAGATGACTTACTACTTGGTCATTAAAGATGACTTACTACTTGGTCATTACAGATGACTTACTACTTGGTCATTAAAGATGACTTACTACTTCATCACTGCAGATAACTTACTACTCAGGCATTACAGATGACTTACTACTTGGTCATTAAAGATGACCTACTACTTGGTCATTACAGATGACTTACTGCTTGATCATTACAGATAACTTACTACTCAGGCATTACAGATAACTTACTACTTGATCATTACAGATAACTTACTATTTGATCATTACAGATAACTTACTACTTGATCATTACAGATAACTTACTACTTGATCATTACAGATAACTTACTACTTGATCATTACAGATAACTTACTATTTGGTCATTAAAGATGACTTACTACTTGGTCATTATAGATAACTTACTACCCAGGCAATACAGATAACTTACTACTTGATCATTACAGATAACTTACTATTTGGTCATTGAAGATGACTTACTGCTTAGTCATTATAGATAACTTACTACTCAGGCATTACAGATAACTTACTACTTGATCATTTCAGATAATTTACTATTTGGTCATTAAAGATGACTTACTACTTGGTAATTATAGATAACTTACTACTCAGACATTACAGATAACTTACTACTTGATCATCACAGATAACTTACTACTTGATCATTACAGTTGACTTACTACTTGGTCATTACAGATAACTTACTACTTGGTCATTACAGATAACTTACTACTTGATCATTACAGATGACTTACTACTTGGTCATTACAGATAACTTACTACTTGGTCATTACAGATAACTTACTACTTGGTCCTTACAGATAACTTACTACTTGATCATTACAGATAACTTACTACTTACTTCTTTATTATAGAAACTATAGTAACTTATTTGTCAGTCATAGTAAAGACTGAAATAAATGACGGCTCAATCCTTGTAGAGATTGTAGGTCAGGTCTAGACCAGGTCCCACTGGCTGGCCAGTGTATGGCTTTGTCGTCGTTCCGACAGTATCTAGTTTGTCTCTAATCATCACATCAACACTAAAAGAGTCCTTTTCAGTACTACTTGGTAGTGAGCAATACTAACCTATTTTATATGCCACACATAAACCTATTCACAATTATAATTAAATCTCCCCCCCCCCCCCCACCCCCTTTCAGATGATGCTGGTTGACTATAATGATTTTTACATATTTGTTCTTTAGCAAGTCAAGACAAGACTTATGACAGCGCGCTATTCCATTTTTTATATTACCGATAACTAAAAAGTCAGTTATGTCAAAATAAAACATAACTTGTTACTCATTCATACAGATGATGGGAATAACAACTACATGATTGTAACAGAGAGTCTGATAGATTACTCATGATTCATTCCAGAAATTTAAATACCTAAAACTTAGTTTTTGCAAAGGCTGCCACAACTGTTTGATTTCAGATCCGAGATGGGGATAACGCCAATGCTAGAGAGCTGGCAACCCTGTGTGGGACTGACATACCTGACCCTCTCCGGTCAACAGGCAACCTCTTGTGGCTAAACTTCATCACTGATATTTCCGTTGCTCATGATGGCTTCCGACTTGAGTGGGTAGTTGATGGTGAGTGATTGTGTTAATATTGAAATTGTAAATTTGTAATAGATTATGACAAGAGCTTGTACAAACATAGTAGGCAAAACATTAAATATCCAGCTTACTGAACATCAAAACAAACCAAGAACTTCAAATACTTAGGAGACTTAATATCATCAGCTGGAAAATGAGCAGAGTGAGATCAAGGACGGCTGAAACAGAGCAGACCAACTCACTGGGTGAAGGGCATCACTAATGTGAAACAAACAGGCATCACTAGATATCAAAAGAGCATTCTGGGACATGAGTGGCAGCTCTGGAATTCATTAGAAAACAACAAGTTAACAAGTTAAATGGGGGGAGGGGGTGGGGTGGGGTTGTGTTGCATTTGTGCGTGTGCGTGTGTGTGTGAGTGTGTGTGTGAGTGAGTGTGATGAGGGAGTGAGTGATAATTTTATACTCATTTTTTATATAGATGATGATAATGAAAAAAAGAGGAAAGTTCCCATTTTCAGGCTTTCAGATGTAATGGGCATAAAGTGCTAGAACTGTGTTCTATAGACAAATCAGAGGTGGGTGTGTGATGTGCTCAACCTCTTCCCAGCTGCCTTTACTTCCCAGGACTTTGTTGTTACCCATTTAAGGCTAGGTCGACCTGGGAGCCATGGTCACTTTTGAAAAATGTGGATAATGTATTACTCATTGGTTTCAGAATCTGATCAGTGATCACCTACTGCTCAATTTTTACAGAGCTCCTCAAAACTTACTGCTAAATTTGTACAAAGATCCTCATAACTTACTGCTCTATTTTTACACAAATCCTCATAATTTACTGCTCTATTTTTACAGAGCTCCTCAAAACTTACTGCTAAATTTGTACAAAGATCCTCATAACTTACTGCTAACTTTGTACAGAGATCCTCATAACTTACTGCTCTATTTTTGCAGAGATTCTCATAACTTACTGCTCTATTTTTACAGAGATCCTCATAACTTACTGCTCTATTTTTACACAAATCTTCATAACTTACTGCCCTATTTTTACACAGATCCTCATAACTTAATGCTCTATATTTGCAGAGCTCCTCAAAACTTACTGCTAAATTTGTACAGAGATCCTCATAACTTACTGCTAAATTTGTACAGAGATCCTCATAATTTACTGCTCTATTTTTACACAGATCCTCATAATTTACTGCTCTATTTTTACAGAGCTCCTCAAAACTTACTGCTAAATTTGTACAAAGATCCTCATAACTTACTGCTCTATTTTTACAGAGATCCTCATAACTTACTGCCCTAATTTTACACAAATCTTCATAACTTACTGCCCTATTTTTACACAGATCCACATAACTTAATGCTCTATATTTACAGAGCTCCTCAAAACTTACTGCTAAATTTGTACAGAGATCCTCATAACTTACTGCTAAATTTGTACAGAGATACTCATAATTTACTGCTCTATTTTTACACAGATCCTGATAACTTACTGCTAAATTTGTACAAAGATCCTCATAACTTACTGCTAAATTTGTACAGAGAGCCTCATAACTTACTGCTCTATTTTTACAGAGATCCTCATAACTTACTGCTCTATTTTTACAGAGATCCTTATAACTTACTGCTCTATTTTTACTGAGATCCTCATAACTTACTGCTCTATTTTTACAGAGATCCTCATAACTTACTGCTCTATTTTTTACAGAGATCCTTATAACTTACTGCTCTATTTTTACAGAGATCCTCATAACTTACTGCTCTATTTTTACACAGATCCTCATAACTTACTGCTCTATAATTTTAAAAACTAGTAACTTACAGTTAAACAATTATGGAAACTGATAACTGACCACTAAACACTTGAAGACATTTTATTTCATTCAACATGTAACCATCTCCTAATCACTAGGTTGTGGTGGCCATCTTTACGACAGCACTGGGGTAATCACAAGTCCCAATTATCCTAATCCATATCCACACCGCCGTGAATGCCAATGGGTCATAACTGTGCCAACTGGCAATTCTATCCAACTGACTGTTACCAACTTTGATTTGGAGGGCCATGAAAATTGTATATTTGATGTCCTGGAGGTATTTAGAATTTTTCTGTCATTTTCGTATAGTTATTTATTTATAATAGTTTTAGAAAGTGAGTATTAATGCTTGAACTGAACTGGTCCTGTTAAATAGCACTGTATTTTAGAATTGGAACAACAAACTCTTTTAGAGATCTGTGCAAGGACTAAAAGAATTAAATTGTGCTCTTCTCCTTTTATAGGTGCATGCTAGAACTAAAAAAAGGAAATTGTGTTTTTGACCTCCCATAGATCTATGTTATTGGTAACAACAGTTAAAAGACTTTACTGGGCGAATCACCAAGCAGGCACTACAATGGGAAATAAAAGGAATGAGAAAGTGAGGACACCCAAAAGAAACTCTAAAATGAATTTTGTTGAGAGAGGCCAAAGCTGCTGGACTGGATTCCATCCATGATATTGAACTGATTGTACAGGATAGAAGGGAATGGAGGAATAGACTGTGAGCCTTATGTGACATTTAATGGCACAACAGAAAAATGATGATGATGATAGAACAATGCTCAAGCTAAAAAAAAATGAAGAAGTATTTTTGACCTTCCATAGAATGAACTTGTATCTATCCATTTGTATAGATCTATGCTGGTATAAAACAAAATGATGTTGTATCTTTCTGTTTGTATAGATCTATGCTGGGATAAAACAAATGATGTTGTATCTTTCTGTTTGTATAGATCTATGCTGGGATTAAACAAAATGAAGTTGTATCTTTCTGTTTGTGTAGATTTATGCTGGGATTCAACAAAATGAAGTTGTATCTTTCTGTTTGTATAGATTTATACTGGGATAAAACAAAATGAGTTTGTATAGATTTATGCTGGGGTAAAACAAAATGAAGTTGTATCTTTCTGTTTGTATAGATTTATGCTGGTATTAAACAAAATGAAGTTAAATCTTTCATTTTGTATAGATCTTTGCTGGGATTAAACAGAATGAAGTTGTATCTTTCTGTTTGTATAGATCTATGCTGGGATTAAACAAAATGAAGTTGTATCTTTCAGTTTGTATAGATCTATGCTGGCATTAAACAAAATGAAGTTAAATCTTTCTGTTTGTATAGATTATGGTGAGATTAAACAAAATGATGTTGTATATTTCTATTTGAATAGATCTATGCTGGTAGTGATAGTAGTGGGCCCCGGCTGACCAGTTTGTGCCATCATATACCCGAGCCACAGACATTGCATGCAACTGGGACTTCAGCTTTCATTCGCTTCAGATCTGACTTTTCTGTCAGTGGAACAGGATTTAGGCTCACCTACCAGGCAGTGAGCGGGGGTAATCAGATTTTGAATATTGCATTGTAGACAGTGTCAATCATATCATCATGTGCCATATGTATTGTTTCCCCTCCTCACCTCATCTCTCTGACATGTTCTAGATTTTAAAATAAAAATTGAGCACAAAAATTGTACCAGACATCAAAAGTGATCTTCAAAATAGGTTGTAATATGTAAAGGACCCTTTTCATGCCATTGGTTCGAGGAAGTTCTTCTTCTTCTGCGTTCAACATCAGTCATGCTAAACATTGAGTCCCGTCTGGGTCACAAATAGGATAAAGGTCACCCCGGTTAGCTTCTCTCGCAATGTGGATCCCCTGGGCCAGATCCACAGTCTTTGCTGAGAGAGGTAAGGGCAGTGGTGCAGTATGTGCTCAGGGGTCTGTCTTCGAGGGTGTATAATGCCAGAACTATATTTGTAAAGACTATTTGACCTTAAGTAGGTCATGGAGTCAACATTGTACTTGCTGCCTTTACCTCCCAAGAAATTTCCTGGTACCAAGTGAGGCTGGGTAAGCCTAGGAGCCAGAGTTAATCATTAATCTTTCTTGACATGGATTTCTTTGTCTTCATATTCATCGGCCGTAAATTCTGGTGGTAAATGCCACTATCCTCTTTTATTGTTTTTCCCAGCCTTTGTGCTGTGTATGCCCATGATGATCTTGACCTGCGCTTCACGGACCCGTCTGTATAAATGACGTGTCTTCTGGGCTTAAATGCAGATCAGTTAGTGCCTTAATCTTGGCATCTACCGTGGCAGGTATCTGATTCCTGCAGTACCTCCCCAGTGTTATGACAAAATTAGACAAGTCATGCATGTCCAATGTTGTATTCCGTCCAATCTTTTCAATGACTGATCTTGTCTAGGTCACATGCTTGCTTCATTAGATTTTCTGCCTCGGTCATACAGGAGAAGCCTATTTTGAGATGAATCTTTTATATATCATTGATAGGTTGTGCAGTGAGTGGTTGATGTCTGCTGATATCCTCATGTACGCTTTCACCTGTGCCACTTTTTGTCTGGTGGCCATTGTCGGTAAACCCATGATTTACTGCATGGCGTGGCATGAGGTGTCTTTTGATGAGTCTCATGGCCTCATTTTTTTTACCCAGTCCAGTCTTTCTAGCTTGGTTCTGCTGACAGTGAGGAGTGGTAGCAGTAGTAGACTTTTACCCCACCAGGACATCACACAAGCGATAAACACCGGATGACACAAAGTGCCACCATGTGGATGAGTGTCACTGTTGAGAGGTCCCAGAAACCGCATTCAGCCATTAGAACATATTTATGGTCGGGCTATATTGTGGCCCCTGGCAAGAGCCACATTAGGGCTTAAAATAACAAAAAAAATTGCATCTCACAAGGAGATGACTGGAATGTAGAGTGAGGAGGTCCAGACTTAACACTTAATAGTCCACGATAGAGCAGGAAAAGTAGGCATTCATGTCGGCATATGCCATCGCCTTCAGCACTGTGAGAGCTTTTCTGGACCTAACTATGACACTGTCTTTATGACTTTCTAATGACAAGAATCTATTGAAAGTTATGTCAAGATATCTAATTGGTTCATTCTATCAATGTCTATACTGCACATGCTCACGACTGGCGTAGATGTACTGACGATGTGGGTATTCAAGGAGAACCATGTTGAGGAAGCCTTTGCTGAGTTTACCTGTGCCCTGGATTTGTGGCACCACTCACTGAGTCAGTTTAGTTCATGCTGCTATTCAGCATAAATGCCTTGAATATTGCATCTATCCATCGCTTCTGTTATTGACCTCTCGCTCAGTTTCCATTGTCTCAGTGACAGGGCTCTCTGTGGTGCATATCTTATGGCAGTCTTGACAAATTTCCAAAACATTTCTTTTTCTTCTTCTTTTCTTCTTTGCATTCGCTGGCTGTAAACTCCAGTGGAAATTATAATTGTTTATCCACTTCTTGATTTGTTTCTTGTTACAAAACTTGAGTGTTGCATGCACTATAGGTTCCTTGCCTCTCAGGGAAATGCACTGCAAGATCAAAGGAAGCTCCTAATCAGTTGACTCTTACAACATGCTTGTTGGTAAAGCAATCGGTTTGTTCGTTTTTCCCACAGTAGGCCCCAGAACCTACATAGAACCATTTGATCCATTGTCTCCTGATGTAACTTACCACCGGTCCAGTCCGGTCCCTACATTTTTGCTAATACTGCTATTTCTTATCCTATCTTTCTTTGAACATTTGAAATTAATCACTGACATTTCATTTTTATTTTTGTTTTGTATTTGCTATTTTTGTTTTGTTTTGTTATTAATGTCACTGACTGACCATGGTTAAAAATACTCGACTGAACAGTGTTATGTTAGTGTTAGTTATTACATGTGAACCAAGAACAAACAGGAAGTCACCTAGAGAGAAAGGATAGTTGAAAGATTTGAGAGTTTCTGTCCAGGAAAAGATGGATGGGGAAAAGAAAGAACTTCAGAAGAAAATATGTGTTGAATATTGAAGCCATGTGGAGATACACAACCCAGTTTACAGATAAAGAGTTCTCCTTAGATTTACAAGCTCTTTCCTGTGATGAACATCATTTAGTGGCAATGACTTCCACTTGACGATTCCCATTTGTAAATTATTCACGTATATGAAATCTATGTACTCTTCCTGTCATTGTGTGACACATGAGGCATTCACAAATTATCTTCCTTGCTGCTGTCTGCTGTTTTTCTTCTGATTGCATCTCATGTTGTTTTGCATTCCATCATTTCTATAACTATAGTCCTTTTCCAGTTTCTTTTGATTGTCCACATCAGAGAATGAAATACTGTATGTTATATAGACAGATTAATTGCTAATCCAATGTGAATTCAAACATTCAAAAAGTGCATTTGAATACAATTTGTGTGATTGTTTTACAGGCTGTGGTGGAAACTTTACTGCTAGGACTGCCACCATCACATCCATCAACTATCCACAAAACTATGAACATGAAACGGAGTGTGAGTGGAATATCATCGTTGCACCAGGGCATTCAGTTGTCTTGAACTTCACTGATTTTGAGGTGGAAGGCAGTAGTCCTTGCATGTATGACTATGTAAATGTAAGTGGCAAGAACAGCATGAAAGGTTAAAAAGAGGTATTATTGCATGCTGTAAAGAGCCAGTTTTAACATACGGCTGTGAATCCTGGACAATTAATAAACAAGCCGAACAATATCTTTAAGCCTCTGAGATGTGGTTTTACAGAAGAATCCTTACAATTTCTTGTACAGCCAAACGGAGCAATCCAGATGTCATCATTTTTGGGTAATGATATGAGAAGGGGGGAACTGAAACCTGCTGTGATCACTGGAAAGGGCTGTGAGAACATTCATGACAGCCTTTTATCATAGCATGGAAGGGTGTCAACACACAAACACTGCAGTTGTAGATCACAGATTGTGAAGGAGTGATTCCCATGCCAGTCAGCAAGGCACTTGATGATGATAATGACAGAAGAACACATGCATTGTTTCTCTTCCTCTGCAGCCAGGATGGGATGCACGAGGGAGATACCAGTTATGTGTATGAGACATATCTTGGATATGCTGATCGTTGCTGATAGATATCATATACTGCAGACTGGGTACTGTCTTAGCTTGTAAGCAATTCAGACATACTCTGCATAGGGAACTGGGCACCGTGAAGGGAGACAGACTAAAAAAGGGCAGATCACGGATGACCAAGGCTGAAAAGACAATTAACAGGTTCTGCAAAATTCCAGAAATTGTTCAAGGAGAAGAACTGGTAAAGTAAAGTACCAGAAGGCAGAAAAGAGCTGCACAAAGTGATAATTACCTTGGGGTGAGAGGGCAGGGAATGGGTTGCGGGCCATGCATATGCAGAGGCTCAACGATATAATGCAAAGTAAATAAAGGGCCCATTTCATGCCTTAGGGCATATAGGGGCAAGTTCTATTAGTTTTATACACCTATTGGCACTTGATGGACGATGTGGTCAACATCACGCCAGCCACCTTTACTTCCTATTATATAAACTGTATCTATTTTTGCTGGGTCGGCTTTGGAGCCAAGGTCAGTTTTAAAAATATCCATCTCATTGCACATTTGAACCCTAGAACTTTTTACTGGCAGGTGAGTGTGTAGCCACTATGCCACTGCTGTTTCCTTATTGTAAATCACTTTTGTTTTCAAAAGGTTCGTATCTAGCATGTGTGACTTCTGCTTGCAGTTGTATGATGGACCAGATGCAAATGCCTCTCTGATCGCAAGTCTGTGTGGTCGCACCTTAAGCCAGAGAGTGTATAGGTCAAATGGCAATCAGATGTATGTGAGGATGCGAACTGATTCATCTGTCACGTACAAGGGCTTTAGTGCAACCTATACGACAGGTGAGAATTATTCTTTTTAGGGAAGGGAAATGATAGTTATATAGAGTAAGTTGTGATGTATAGGGGTGAATCACTGACAGTCAGTCATTCACGGTCAGACAGTAATTGACAGTGAATCAGTCTTTGACATATTGCTCTTACTGGGTGAGTGGGCATGGAGACACTGAGATGACTCTGGTGTTGGAAGAGGGAGCTCGAATGGGTTGAACCGTTGTAAGATTTTGATATGGACAACAAGTAACAATATGTGACAGAGGACAGTTAGTAAATTATATAATTTTTAAACTGATCTAGAAGGAGATGGTGAATTGTTTCAAACTTAAGGTAATGCCACATGGCTAGCACAATCAAGAGGTGATTTTGCATAGCTAGCACAATCATGAGGTGATTTTGCATGGCTAGCACAATCAAGAGGTGATGTTGCATGGCTAGCACAATCAAGAGGTGATGTTGCATGGCTAGCACAATCAAGAAGTGATGTTGCATGGCTAGCACAATCAAGAAGTGATGTTGCATGGCTAGCATAATCAAGAGGCAATGCCTCATGGCTGGACATTCAAGAGCTGATGTTGCATGGCTAGCACAATCAAGAGGTGATTTTGCATGGCTAGCACAGTCA